AAAGCTGAGTTATAAGAGTTTGTAACTAGTTTTCCACTTTATGACCACGGCATCGCTTCCGCCATGTTCAGGAAAGCAGGCAGACCATCCATACTGGGCAGAATTTCACCAACTAACAATTAATGATTAAAACAGAGTTCTGTAAAGTCTCTACCGGCCACAATGAGCAAGTAGTCTTGCTATTCGAATACAGCATTTTCCCAGAAGTACCACCGGGGCAACCGGGAAAATTGCGCTGCGATATATTCGCTCCATGCCGTGGAATAACCGACTGGATCGTCCTCTTAAACAAACCCCCGGCTAGCGCATGGCAGCATATCGTCAGCCAGCTTAACAGTCTGGTGTAGGATGCAACAATAACTAAGCTATCAGCTACAGAATCATGGTCTCGTTTGCACGAAATATGACACACAGACGTATAGCGGTGCGGACGAGATCCTGGCATATAGATAAAATCTGTTCGACCGCGGAGAACTGGATGGCTCATGCTGTTTAACGTGACCATTTTACTCAACTTTTCCACGCGAATAACCTGATATACCTACAGAATCTGATGAGACCTAGGGCTTCAAACAACAAGCAGCTGAATAAACACGTTAACAGCCCGCGTAAATTGAAACGCGTAGTACATTCTCTTCAAACAGCGGCTGGAAGGATGCGATGCCCTGCGGATGCAGTTTGCCTTAACATTTCGGCTCCTTCCCTTGTCACCTGATCCCATGTCAAGTGTTGCCTCCCATCAAAACTCGCTCATATGTCTTTTAAGGCAGGAATTTTCTTAAAACTTTTGTATGTACGTGAGCACAACTCTCCTGCAGCTGCTAATATTCACCCGAAGTCAGTTGTGGGGTAGAAGGGAGCTTTGCTAAGCCTTTGGTTCGATTCTTCTAAGGTTGATGTGACGAAAGATATGTATCCGACACGCGGAAACACGGAATGATGACTCCAACTCACAAAGTTGGTAGTCGTTCTGGTCCAGCCAAATACAGTTCTCTAAACCTTCTACCGGTACTTTCAAAGTTCATGGAAACCATGGCTTACTTGAAAGAACTTACCTACCTTGCATAAGAACAGCATGGTTTCCGCAGAAACCTATCTTGCACAACCAAGCCAGTTGGGCCGTAGCAGTAAACACGTGTTAGAGTTAATTTATATGATCTCGACTTCACAAACGCTTTCGATCGTTTAGACCGACGCACTTTTCTTCTCAAACTCTAGAATGTCTGCATTGGTGGTCCTCTCCTCCATCGTCCCCTGAATGTAAGAGTGCCTGAGTCCCTGCCAGATCCCATCTACTCAAAAGCGGAGCATCACATAGATCGGTACCCGGGGACACGGTTGCTCTTGATGTAGACCAACGATATAACACACACACACACACACACACACACTCACATCTCATAAGCTTTATCTGCCCATGTCAATGACATTAAGCTGTGGTTGCGATCAACACACTTGGCGATCCCACACTAATACAAGCCGATCTAGATGGGGTTTATAGATAATACAATTTCTAATCCACCTCAATGTGTAGCGCAGACGAGGCGGTATGGAAGTACGGTCTGTTGGCAACTCACAGCAGGTGCATAGGCTAGCACGCACGCGCGCACTTATAGGAGACATTACCAGCCCACCAATCACCACACATTTTCCTTTGCCTCGCTGTCACATTTCTGCCTCGATTTCAGCCGATCCGCAGGGTCCCTGTTCGTCCACGTAGCCTAGTGTCTTCGCTTCCACTAGTCCTATTCTGGCCGGGTTGGGTTCCTTCAAATGCCCTTGACTTGCTTGATCTAGATAGCGTTGCTCTCCTCGCGGTTATTCTCGGAGACGCGGCCAAACCTATGCCTCTACGGAACACCGGGCTGTCTACCAATACGTTCTCCGCTCTTCTCGGCCGCGACCTGATGTCACTTATCGCTCGTGAATTATTTCCGGCTTGTTTCGGAGCACTCGAGCTGCTTTGTTGACTTTCGTTCCTGGTGTCCTCGTTAGTTTTCCTCTTCTTTAGTTTCCGCGTCTTGTTCGTTTCACATGTGATGCTTAACTTCGGCGCCACCGCCAATGTAGAAAATTATGGAGTAGTGCACTTACGGTACCAGGTGATATATAAAGGTGGTAAGTAGGAGATTCAAACGTCTTATGGTGAAAAGGATGTGAGTATTCTGATTCTGGCCAAACTTGGCAGTTGGGATCAAGGTGAATAAGAAGTAAAAGCCTATTCAAAACGTGAGCATCACATTGCGTTCAACCGAGTGCCATACCTATCCACTTGTTATCAGTTTCTTCGTCCATGCTTATGTTCACAAATAGAATACACAATACAGATCTGGCAGTCATGGCTGAGAAGAGATCTCACCACTTTGGAGGGATCTCAATGCCCGGCAGCCAAGAACATCAAAGGCTTGTACAATATTCTCTATGACCAAAGGCTGATAGTTTTCGGCATTTCCAGTGGAAGATTCCGGGAATTGCCTCGGGACTATATTATGACTTTTAAGATTTTAAGGGGGCCCAACCAAGCCTGCCGCCGTCTGCTGGAGCTGTGGCAATAGCAATCTGTGTGGTTACTATCTCAAGCTGACGGAGCAATATAGTCGTTTGGAATACCGTCGGAATTTCTTTTCCTTATGTATTGGTCAAACGTGGAATACTTTCCCCCAATCTGTCGCTTGTGCTCCCATGCTGGCGAAATTCGGAGCCAGAGATGACGGCGCACTCATTTCCGTGCGATATCTCACTTGACTGCCTACTGCTTAACACGATTCTCAGTTGGACAGTCATCTCCCAGAATACGTTCTACCTTTTCATCAGAAGGAGTTCACTAGAATGCGACATGGCTTATACGAACATTCCATCTGTCGACGTTACAGTGAATCTTTAATGTTTAACATGAATACCTCACTGAATCCACTAGTTGGACATTACTTTTCCTGGCAGCGGTATTGATCCTGAAAATCCCACGGGACTTGTTAAGCTTTGGTTTCTTTCTCAGTGATTACGAAGGGTATAAATATCAGCGGAACATCTGCAACAGTTCAAAAAAGAATAAACGCCGACATTTCGAAGAGCAGCTCGCAGTAGCCGCGAAGACCGCCTCAAAGAGAATCTTTGCATATGTGAAGCGAAGCCTGAAGCCGGCAGGTGATGTGCCAATGCTGGATGTCCCGCATAGACAGCCCCTAACCTCCAGCACTGAGCGTGCGTCCGCGTTGGCGGCGCACTTCGCTTCTGTATTTGCGAATAACCAGGTGTCTGTTCCGAGTTCGACGTGTACCGCTTTTACTGAGCTCGATAGTCTGCATTGCGGCGTTGAAGAGGTAGCTCAACTACTCGCCAACCTTGACCGCACCAAACTTGTCGGACCTGATGGGCTTCACCCATTGATTCTCAAGTCACTTTCGACCATCATCTCGCCTGTCGTGACTGACGTTTTCACCAGGTCGCTGTTCGAAGGTTTGTTGCCGGTTGACCGGAAATGTTCGGTGGTGAAGCCTATTCCGAAAGGCGGCGACCCTAACAAAGTAGACAACTACAGGCCAATTTGTCTGACACCTATTTTGGCAAAGGTTGTTGAGAAAATCGTGAAGAAGGGATTGCTGCAGTTGGTACAGTCAAACGAGGTCCTGACGCCCGCACAGCAGGGTTTTATGCAAGGTCGCTCATGCATTACGAACCTGCTTGTGACGAGTCATGAGTGGTTGAAGGCAATAAGCAAGGGGAAGTCCGTCGAGGTGACATTCATCGATTTCAGTAGAGCGTTCGACAAGGTCAGTCATGAGGTTTTCCTTCACAAACTCAGAATGTGTGGTGTCGGTGGCTCCCTGCACCGGTGGATCCACGACTTTCTTGTTGGACGAAAGTGGAGGGTACAGGTCGATGACCATCTAACCGACTGGTACCCCTCTACAAGTGGCGTGCCTCAAGGCACTGTGCTGGGGCCAACTCTGTTCCTGATTCACATCAACGATCTACTGCAGCTTCTCTGGTCGCTGTGTGCATTTTTTGCGGATGACATGAAGATTTGGAGAGAAATGGACGCTCCTGATGACTGTGACCTACTTCAGCAGGACCTCAACCGCATATCCACATGGTCTGCAGAAGTTCTTCTCCCGGTCAACCCAGCCAAGTCTGTATTCATGAGCCTGGGGAAGGGTGCTAACGGCCGAACCTACATCCTTGACGGTCAAACGCTATCCACACCCTCCGTGAAGGAACTAGGTGTACTGTCAAGCTACGATTTGAAGACCGTGGACAACACGAACACTCTATATCGTAACGGACTGCGCATGCTTTGGGCGCACAAACATAGCTTCGGCACATGGTCTGAAGAGGTTGCCACTCGCCTCTCCTCTTCCATCATTAGAACTATGCTAGAGTACTGTTCGCGCGCCTGCTTTCCGATTACCCTAGGTGAGGCACAAAAGATCGAACGGGTCCAACACGTTGCTATCAGGCTGATCCCAAGTTTACGTGGCTTGGGGCATGAAGACCGGTGCTAGAAACTAGGACTCTACAGCTTGTCCTACCGTCGGGTGCGAGTCGACCTCATTATGACCTACCGTATTCTAAATCTCGGTGACTTCCCCATGCTGAGGCCAATGATGCACTTACGAGGGCCATGCAGCACACGCGGACACAGATACAAACTTGTCGTGCCGGAAGTGAAATGTGTTCCCCACCCACTGTGCTTCGAACGGAGGGTGGTAAACATTTGGAACAGTTTACCTGAACATGTGATTGAGGCAACATCTGCGCAGAGGTTCAAAACTTTGTTAGATTTATATTTTACCCCTATTCGATTCAGAGAACGACTGCACACTTACGATGACATATCACATTTGTGAGTCCTGAAATATCGTAAGTCAGATATTTTAAATGTTACAGCATTCAGTATTCAGTATCAAACTATTGACCCACATTCCGGAGGTGGATTGAGATAGCTAAACTAACATTTTTCTACAACTGCATGCTATACATTTTTAAACGTTTTGTTACAGAATACCGGAGGCGCAACGCTCAGCATCGAATGGAGCTACCTTAACGTCGACTCCCTGTTGGCTAATGGGGGCATTTGCGATCGATTCGGCGACAGCAAGTGTGATGTGTACTTCACGCTCTGCCTGCGAAACGCAGCCTCTAACTCGAAATAGTAAGCGAATATGTCACGAATGAAAAGTTTTCAATCAAAACGAGCTTACGCAAAATAAAACAAACTATTTCCATATCAATTTGAACATTCCGCTGTTAAGACATCCTGATTTCATTGTATTGCTGAAAAAAGTACATGCTTTAGTCGGCTGTCTTGCTCCCCTTCTCAAAGTACATCCATCAGTTGTAATTTCTATCACAAATGGGTTCATACCATTCGACACGTTGATACCGCAGAATAGCCAACTTCCTTTGGGGTTGGGACAACCAGTAATGTGCCGCGAAGCGGTTTAATCAATAACTCCTTAAAAGTAGTTCCCTTTAATTCGCACATATGTACATCCGGTCACGCACTTGATGCTCGGCTCCCAGAGGAAGTTAATTAGACAGGCCGTATTTTTTCTGTTGTTATCGAATATCGAATAACCGTTTTCACCAGTTCAAAGTGAACTAAGGCTACAGCGGTAGCTGTTTCACTGACAACAGATGTGGTAACTCAGTGGTAGAGTCAAATGAGTATGTTTAACACTGCTACTTTCGGTATGCATAATTTTTACAATGATAATTTTACCTAATACACCAAGCCAGCGATATGATCAGACAGACATAAGGCGACCAGTGATCACAAGGAAAATCCCACTTAGATTACGTTTCTTTTGATCAAGACGACGATTCACCGTAAATAGAGACCAATTTTGGTTGCGTGCCTTGGATCTGTTACAGCAGGGTCAATCAATCACTATTGTATGTTCATTTAGAATAATAAAGTAGGATTACAAAGCAATCATCACATGCCGACCGTACAAACATGAGAAATTGTGTCATTTATGCTCCTTTTCGATTTCTACAGTCATTCTCAAGAAAACTGTCTGCTTCTGCAATACACCACCAAAACGTACTATAACATTCAAAATGTGAATGTAACTGGGGCTAATGCCGTGAGCGTAACGATTCCACCACCCGTTCCCGTAAGTTTCCTTCAACTCCATTCTTTCACAGCGCTTTTAAATATGCTCGTAAAACTCTTCGTCAATAGTCTATATTAGCTAATTGCAGAAATTGCGCAATAGAAGGCGCTGCTAATATTAACACGTTTTGAAGAGAGCCGTCCCAACAATCCATAGCGTTGCGCCTACATTGCTTGTAATAATCGCATATTTCTTCTACCACACCTAGACTTGCGGTTACATATCAACCCTCTTAATCATAATGTGTATAAGTAGTTCTTATGTGTTTATACTCAGCATTCTGCCATTTGAAACAAGCTACCACATTAGGTTGTATTATAATTGATTTCTAAAACCAAGCATACAGTAGGGAAGTTTACCAGGTTTAATTTCAAAGGATGGTGATTCGAGCTAATTAAATGAGACTTTTAAGTTCGCTTCAGGTCGCTAAGTTTTAGACTGGTAATGGCAGCTGTCTTAGAATAGAAATCAGATAGCTAAAATTACACGCAATCATGTCATCAACACTGTTTCACTTAATTCACTTTTTCAGAATTTCTACACGTTTAGAATGCAGATATTTGATAAAGACTACCTTCCGGATCACGAACTAATTGGAGATTTTCTGGCCTCAGGTTTCCACTTACTGCCCAGCGAAACGTTCCAGGAAGTCAAGATGAAAAATGTGGTTTCTGCAGCAAAAAATCTAAACTTGAAGTGAGGTTTCCATTACTATCCTTCAACCATTCCTTTTTTATTTGAAGACTCCTATGCACATATTAAGCAACTTGAAATTAATCCGTAAGTTTGTGCTTGACATCGAACTCAGAGCGTGGCAATCAGTAGAGACTTCGAGTAGATCAGACCCTGCCTCAATGATAAGTAAGATGCCCGTGACGCAGTGAGAAACGGTATTGGAAATCGAAACCAACTGTTCAAAAAAGTTCACCTACAGTTTACTCTGTTGAATGTACGTAAATCAAACATGAGTGGTATATAAAACTACCGTCCTAATGATAACAGTGTGCTGAGCCAAACTGCAGCAAGACCTTGTTTGTACTCAGCAGTTTGGTAACAGAAGCTGCACATTATCATTCCGGTTGGACTAAGTATAGTATGGCATCGGCGCTAACCGGATACATTGAGCTTTGGTATAGCTAGTGACCGCCGTGATTGCATTATTCAACTGTCACACAACGCGAACCCTGCAGGTATCTTAATGCCTTGACAGAGAGTGTCAAATCCACGTGAGGATAAAGCTTTGTGACATACAAAAATTAAAGGAGCATTTTCTTTCAAAGCACAGTTTAATCGGTATGTCATGGTTTAAGACAGTTGGAATTATATGGAGTTGGGCGCAACCATATGTACAGATTATGGACGCACCAGATCTTATAGTTTAGCGCAACTGACACAACCTGTGGGTTAGCATGTACTCAGAAACTAACCCAGCTGCATCTAATAGCGCAGCTGTACTACCAGAAACTCGTCACTAATCAGACTGGTCATAAGCATCCGAGCTCACCAAGTGGCACCTGCTAAGCTGCAGTAGAATGAGACCTAAATGCTCGAGCAGTAAATGTACCCAACTACTTCTACGCATTAACAAGCAATGGCGACAAACTGGCGGCATTGTATATGTTCTATCTGCTCTTTCGTCTATTCGCAGCAAGCAAGTAGTACGCATACGCGAATCGCCGCCGAGCCTGGGAGCTACTGATGCTAAAGACCTAGACCGAGAAGAAGCAAATTAAGCTCGCTTTAAAAACCATTCAATCCATTTTTCATGCGCAGGAAATAGCAGTTATGCACTGCGACTTAATAAGTGCTCACTGTACCGCATGCTCTAATTTTTAGGTTTATGAATGCATTTATTATCCCCTATTGACTGTACTGTTCCGCAATTATTTTCCTCGGAATATTTCAAAAGGATAGTACTTTTATTGTGTAATCACTAAAACTTATTTCCGATGGTCTGGATTAGGCAGAACATCCATCCTTGATTTTATGGTCAGCGAGCATGTTGAAGCATGACTAAACTTCTCACCCAACTGACAAAACAGTCACTCTGAACCCCAAAAAGTTTTAGCAACTACGGCATCCATACGTCCCACGCGGTGGAAGTGTAAATCTTTAACTGACCCTAAAGCTTCGCTTGTTAGTCGACCCAAAATGATGACGTAACAATTGCGAACATTTCAGCTTAGTTGCAAATGAATTATTTTGCTGTACGTGTCATGTAGCGAAAACGACGCGGAGGCGAGGGGGGGCAGAGCGTGAATTGCCACAAGAACGTGCCACTCACAACTCACAAACCCGTACAGATTTGGACCGTTTCCTTCACACGACGCAACGCGGAAGAGGTTGGGCTTCGAGACAACCCCTCCATTTTTCCATCGTGTATCTCCGCTTCCCTACGATTCTGGCCGGCCATGAGTCGTTCGAAAGCTCGTGATTTGCTCCCCCGTGGCTGCATCACTCCACCCGCGTTCGCTCTAGTGGGCTTCGCTCGCGGTGTATTTGTCCGAAAAATTGCGTTCTTAACAAATACCTCCTCCATTGTTCTGAGCCCAAGCTCGTTACCAGATGCTGCCCGTGCTGAGCAGCGCTCGCAGAGACTTATCTCGTCTCAGCCATTGCGCCTGTTTTTAATTCTCTACAAACCCGTCATGTCATTCCGATTGACGCTTAGTCAATGGCTTCCGACGCTTTATCATTTAGTTCCTTCTCCCACCGATTCTATGTTGTAGTATGTCCGCGGTATTAGCGTAAATTGCTGATACTGCTCCCACACTGGCGTTTAAAGCTTACTCTGACTGCACGACACCCGCTCCGCACACTTTTTCACTGATATCACGACGCCAGTACGTCAGCTTCAATGTCAAGGATATTTGTTGTATGTTGCATACGTCCAAGTGAGTCTGCACTACAATGGGCATGTAATAGCCGCAGAAACGCATGATAAGAACGCGTAACTTGCGACCAAGCAATTGCTATATTTGCATGCTCCAATTGCCTGGATAGTAGGCTAATTTAAGCAAATAATGATTGCGCATTGTGAAGCCTTTGTCGATCGCAAAAGAATAAACTTTTCAGTTACCTTGAACTTCTTCAAACGTATGCAGCCCATAAATTGAACTGTCATATCTAACGAGCATGAGTAGTTGTGATTATAAGCACTATAGATTTGCTGCTTACTTTTTCCTCGCCAAACGTCGGAATACAATGCTGTAGGATAACCATCACTGTTCGTTTTTCACTTAACTTTTGCTGGGGTTCATTGCCGAACCACATGGCATGTATTTTATGCCAACGAACCAGCAACTTATGCTTCCCCGTTCTTTTCAATGTTCCCATCTCAGACTGCAGGTGAGGATGCGACTTATGTGCAATAGATTTCACTACGGAAGCCAATGCATGATCAAGTGCCAATCGGATTCTTTGCGCTACACCTGCGATGCGCATGGGAATAAGATCTGCCATGTCGGTAAGCTTCCCATGCGGTTTTTGTCTATTCGGCTACGAGTGCACGGTATTCAGATGTTGCCAACAGCGCATTTGGCCCTATGTGTATATCTATCGCAGTTTAAGTTATGTCACATTATGTTCGCACGTTTTGGTATCCCAATTGCTCAATTCATCGCTACGATACGAGAGGGGTCAGTTTGAAGTACTTGTTGTGTGTTAATGAAATGCGACGGGCCATTTCGATGGGAACCCCGGTTCATGTTGAATTGCAGTCAATTCATGGACCATGAAGGCATGCACCACAACTGTCACTGTTACCCGGCTTGCAGCCGTCCAGCTGTGACATGTAGCGAAGATCAGACAGCGTAATCAGTCTATGTTGTGCTTGGCTGAGAGAGCAAAGGACCGAGGTAGGGTGCGCTTGTGCAGTTTTGCAGTTATAATGAGTTTCAGACAATCATGAAATATGTTTGGAACCGATCTGGAACGTGTGATTTCAGAAGATACTGTGTCTTAACAAATCGTGTTTCACGTTCCAATCGTGACTGTGCACTCAGGAATTGAGCCTACTCAAGTTATCGCCAGTATCTTCCGTATTAGCACACTGGCAAATGGAAGATTTTGGGTGTAAAACACTTGCAAATACTAGTGGGTTACCGAACATTCGGTAGCACTAGCTAGATGGTACTTTCGTTATCATACAACTCTATAACAAAAGGAGGTTTTAATCTGTTGAATTCTATTAGTTGGACAATATTCTTTCCCATGGCATTGGGACGTTCTAGTGATACCCTACCATCTCTCGACTGCTTAGTTCACGGGAAGCGGGAAGCCTATAAGCAGGCATTTATCGTAATGCGATGGATACATTTAGGGTGTTCCATTACAATCCAAGTCACACGAAAAATGTATATTTTATGGTCGGTTGGTCTCTGTTTCACAGAGTCCAGCATCTGTGTACAGAAGAATATGATAAGGGAGCAGTTCCGAAGGAGGTAATGAGTAAACTGCTGATAATGGATATCCCAGGCGATTAGTGAAGCACCATATCTACTACGTTCCACGGAGTGAATCAACACGTTAGAGATGCCTTATAAGAATAGGGCTTCGGAAGCCATCGGGAGGGAGTCAAACATGAATGAAAGAAGGGTGATATAAATAGCCTAGCGCCTTGTTCAACACTGATACATTTGAAGGGTGCTTTTCCTTAGATATGACGGCTAATAGTATCCATAATATATTTACAAAGACCGTGCTAACGTGTACACAGGCCAACCAGCGAAAGCTTTGCGTATTCCGATTGGACAACACAAAAATATGTCTCACAATGGCCATACTGAGGGTTTCGGTGGTAGCTGTTCAAATACTGCATACAGGGCAGGAAATCGGCTTGGACAATGTCAAGATCACTAGGGGATGAGTGATGCAACATTCCCTCTCCGAAAGACTAACTGCCAAAGCCGTACGAATGGGTAGATCATATTGGATGTGTTGTGGCTGTCAAATGCGTGGCGATCTGTTCCAACCTGGCCAGTCTGATGAGTATCGGTGTACAGACTCAGCTTGGGGAGCAGACGTGAGGCAACTGCCATCCATCACTGATAAGAATTCACATCTAGTGAGTACGTAATGTGAACCAATTGGGACGCTTCCATTCTTGATGTATCACTTGAAATGACACACAGAACTCCAGAGATGTTCACACAGCAAAACCCCTGACTACAATGACATCCTCCCAGTTTGCAATCAGTGTCAAGTCCAGTATGTACCAGTTTATACGGGACTGCGAAACTTTTGTAACAAATGTGGAACATTGCCAACCGAATGTACAAAACGAGTGTTTTGTAGCGCACTGGAATCAAGGGTTTGACGCAGGCGGTTTGCACTCGTTCAGCTGGTTGCAAGAGCCAGTTACGAGTGGGGACGAAGTACCGTACTAAATGAGGATGGCGACGCCCTTAAAGTCTCCATAGTGTCGGTGCGGTAATCGAACACGATTTTAAACTTCTTTTCGAAAGTATAATCCTACACCAGGATGCAAAATCCAGCTCATAGTGTGATGTTGGAAAAATACAGCAAGGGTCGATTGACAGGTGTTGGAGTATTCGTTGAGTGCAGTGGGTTGCGATAAGCAATCTTAATTGGACTTCGGTTGATTTGAAGTCAGTATGTGACATTCCGAAGGGTTGAAGGAAGCTACTTAGCAACCTGTGATACGGCTGAACTCTTACCAGTCCACCTGATCAGCGATCTGAACGGACTTGCGCAACCATGGGCAACAGCACCCGAAAATTTCCGATATCACTCATGATATGGATAGTTACGTTCAGTGTGGCAATACATGATGACACTGGTTGGGAACTGTTCTGTGTGAGAAGTGAGCAAAAGTCCTTCCATTATATTGATAAACGATCGTTTGCGCAGTTACACGAAAAATACTGGGATTTATATTGTGGTTTACTAGAACCTTGAAATACTACGTCACTAGTCAGAACTATGGATGTAGCCAGACAGCCAGAGGGTAGCAGACCGAAAAGGGACTATACCAGCGCCAAGCAGAATAAGATTGTTTAGAAGCCGCAGGTATATGTGCGCAGGGAATAGATACAGCACCAACGAGCGCCACGCAACCTCCAGGCGAGAGTTCGGGGACGTGCTGAACGGTTAGAGTTCAGACCTGATGCTTAGGATTGGTGATATTCGCCAAAATAATTAACTCATTTAAGACCTTGAATTGGTACTATTTGACACGAGAGAATAGCGTGCGACGTTTAGATAAAGGGCTATAGCAGAGTTTCCCGGAACTCTAAGCATTCGGAATATAAAACGCTATACACCCTGAAATCAATGCGATCAACGCTTGCGCCTTAAATAAATTTGAATTTAGTTTGTGGCCGCGGTGTTACATGACTCAGATGTAAGTCATTGGTCAGCGGGCACAGAAATTGCTTTGTTATCATTGTTGGCATGATATTTTTCTTTTGCTACCGGAATACACAACTAATAGGAGAATGATCTAGAGCCATAGGTAGCATCGCCTTTGCTACAAGAAGAAACTAAGATAAAATAAGACATCAATATTTACATTGAGACCAGCTGTCTGATGGCAACGGAGGAAGACCTGATCTATGTGTGTCCGTCACTCAATCAGTTAATCAAACGATCAGTCAATCATTCAGTCAGTCAGTCAGTCAGTCAGTCAGTCAGTCAGGAATGTGTTTTTCGCACTCCTGAATAGTGTATATTCGACGCTAACAAACATGCTTCGTACAGGAATAAATAAGGAAAGCGAACAGTAGATGAAGATAGGCAAGAAACCATAATCATTAGATACTCGTCGGATCAAATGTTGCTGGTGAAAGTTACTAACCAGTTCTTGAATAAGTGATTTTTGCCATTCGACAAACGTGAAAGACATGGAAATACTGATGCACTTTGTGTGGGAATATAACGGTGATCAAGGTGGTTGTTATACATTCAGACAACGCCCTGTGGAGGGCTGGCTAACATCCGTGAGTATTTTAAATGCAAGCTTGTTACATGCGTTGACATGACTAGCTAAACTGATGTTTAACAAGTTCCAGCCTTGAAATGCCACTGCACCGAGATAGATGCTTCACAGATGTGGCAATTACTTTGAGATCCTTACTCAGGAGAACAAGAAAGATGACTTAAAAGAAATAAGTCAAGGAGAATAACACACATGCAGGAACAGAACGCTAGAACAACAAACGAGGCATGGAGGAAGACTTGAGACGTGTAACCTGGAATGGGTCTTTTGGCTCAGGGACACTCCCAGATATTTTAATAGAAGAGAGCAAATACTCACCTTCAATGATTTTGCGAACAGTGCGTTAGGATTTCCTGGTAGTGATTTCCTATAAACAGGAAAAAAGCGATCCCGCATGTTGAGGTTTTTAACGAACAATGAAAAATGATGTATGCCGGTAAAAAAAAGCAGTTGCTTGACAAGTCCCACAGAATGGTGGGGTTCAATGGTTCAATGGTTCAATGGTTCAATGGTGTATGATGGGATAAAAAGCATAACTTTACAAGACCCACAGGATGGATATGCAAAAGAAAATTAAAATCAAAATGTTCCAACGTGGAACGTAAAGTATCAGTGGTTAAATCATTGCACTTTAACAAAGTGTTGTGTATCGTTTATCACTAAGATGAAAATCTAAGAGTCTTTCGAATGTCGTCATGTCTGGTGCGTTCACCACATAGTTTGGTAATGCATTCCAGTGAGAGCAGATTCTAAGTGAGAAAAAATACTTTCTACAATTCAAGCGAGAGTGTTGCGTCATTAGTTTCAGGTGGTTGCCTCGGTTTTGTTTGTATGGGGCTAGAGTCAACAGCGATGTACATGGATGCTCGCTTTCGGTTAATATCCGGTATGTGAGAGTAAGATCACCGCGAAGCCGTCGGTATTCTAATGAGAACACCCCGAGTACACGAAGACGCATTTCGTAACTTATACCGGATAGTCCACGCGTTGCTTTTGTGGCTCTTCTTTGGGGCTGTTCCAAGAGGCGGATGTCTCGTTTTAACCATGGACACCAGGCCTGAATTGCATATTCAACATGAGGACGAATGTAGGAGTTAATCAACAATGGTACTAGCTGTCGCTCAAAAGTGCCGAGAGCTCGCCTCAAAAGTCTCAAGTTCAAGTTCGCTACACTTGCTGCTTTCGAACACTGGAGCGAATTTCCAAGACTCTCTTGCACGATTATACCTAGGTCGCGTTCACTAGTCACGTGTTGCATGACATGTTGCCCCAAAAAGTATGTGTTAACGAAGCTGTTGTGCACCGTCAGCAGGTGGCACTTTGCAGCGTTCAGTGGGAGCTGGTTCTTTTCTGCCCATTCGTTAATCCGGGTCAGATCTTCCTGGAGGTAGACATGGTCGGATGCTGAGCGAATAGCTCTCCATATTTTAGCGTCGTCTGCAAATATTTGCATTGGAGATAGAATGTCTGCTGGAAGGTCATTGATGTAGACTAAAAATAGTAGCGGG